TTGCGGAAAAAGGACTCTAAAAAGTGCTGACCCTTCATATCTTGCGAGGCTATCCACCCTTCTCAGGGCCTCCCCGAAGACCCCTGTTGCTATCGACTACCAAGTTCTCCTGTTGGTCCTGTTTTCCTACCCCACTTTTGCAGCTTACCTTCTGGAGATTTTCGAAACTCTTCCCCAGAGCCCTGAGCATATCTTCATCCGCAGCTCCGGCCAACTTGGCCAAAGCACAGAGAGAGAGAGAGAGTGTTACATACTGATGTCACACGGGTCCCTTTCGGACCCGACCACTAGGTTAAGGGGTACTTAGGCCGGCCCAGCCAAAGGCCGGACCCTTCTCCCGGTAGGCCGCATTGAGGCCACCGGTTGGTGAGGGGTACTAACCTGACCAGCAGCTACGAGCGCCATAGCTCCCAGCAGCACAGACGTCTCCCGCAGCAGCCAAGGCGCCATCTTGTCCCATCAGGTAGGGCCTGCTACTCGCCATCTCCGCCCATGCTCTGCCCCTCTCTTCTTCTTCTTCTTCTTCTTCTTCTTCTTCTTCTTCTTCTTCTTCTTCTTCTTCTTCTTCTTCTTCTTCTTCAGACTGGAGACTTGATACGAGTTGGACAGAGATCAGTGATTGGACTTCGGTGGTAGGAGGCTGTGATACTTACCGGGTTCGAGACATTGGAGATAGTTGGGCTGGATACCAGGCGGCATCACAGATCAGACACCGTTTACATTAGGATTCTGTACCTCCGACATTGGTGATTTATGGTCCACCACATTCTGATTTGTTCGGTGACATTTTGGACTACCATATCGGTGACCTTCTGGATTCTAGCTCGGTGACATCTGGCGTTGCCTATATCTCCCACCTCCATCGTCTCTCCTCCCACCATTCATCTGAATATGGTTGTACGGGGCCTGAAGCATCGTCTATGATTGGCTTCAGACCCCACCATCCCACAATTGCTTGTGTGTTGAGTGATGTCTGGGTGAGTTCAGCTATGTGAGTCAGTCCATTTCTCAGACTTCCGCTGTATACATGCTCATCCTATATTGGTTGATCTTTGGTTCTGCCCATACTTGGTGAAGTATTCACCAGTATGCAACACACACACAGAGAGAGAGAGAGAGAGAGAGNCAACACACACACAGAGAGAGAGAGAGAGAGAGAGAGAGAGAGAGAGAGAGAGAGAGAGAGAGAGAGAGAGAGAGAGAGAGAGAGAGAGAGAGAGATTACCTGCTTGTTGTCGTTGGCTGCTATGGCTGTATAGCTTGAGAAACCTGTGTGCATCATTTCAAGTTGTAAACAAGTTCTGAGTGTGCGCATATCGTGTGAATCTTGCTGTTTGGTGTGGATATCGAGTACGATGCATACGTAATGTTTGAAGTAATAACGGCAGGAAAACAAGATTTTGTCAGTTGAAGCTGGATCTCTTTGCAAAGAAGACAACCTACTCGTCCTATTGGCCACAACCCCTCCTATTCTGACAAGCACAACCTGACCCCTCTTTCACTGTCAACTCAGAAGACAACATTACTCCTACACGTCTCCTCTGAGGCTGGGAGATCCATAACCTTTTGAGCTGACAGTATCCTAGTACTGTGACTGCTATATTGATCTTAGAATCAACTTCTTTTCCTTATTTTCTCGTTTCGACTATGTGCTGCTTTGGTGGAAATATCCTTTTCTCAGTGATTTTGCTGTGTGTCATCACTGTGTTGTCCTGATCACCTCATCTTCCTGTCGTGCTTTTTCACCCGCTATCTGCAGTGCGAGAATCATACTGATTCATAAAGTTCGATGAACGTACACATGTTGAGGTCGTTTACACATTGATCGGAGCACATGTACACCCGATTAAAAATTGCTAACTGTTCATACTAAAAGACACGGGGAAAGCTTCCCAACATTGGCACACCTGGGGCACCCAACCTTTCTGATCACCATGGAAACGACGAAACTGAAAAGGATTGGGTATGGACTCCGGAGTATGTAGTATGTACAAAGTATAGGCCAGCTATGTGTGTGACACCCGCCCGTACATGCACCTTCCAAACAACTAAAACCGTTCATAGCAGCCAATCAACTCAAACAGTTTGTGGCTCGCTCACAAAGAAGAATAGAAAGAGAGAGCATAGTCATAGTCAACTCGTCCACTTCTTCCGTGCTTCCCACACAATTTTTGCCATAGCCGGAAAGTGTACATGGTTCGCTGCAACACCCAAGAATCAAGAACCGTGGAACTGCCTTGCAGAACAACGTCAAAGTCTCTCTCTCCTCTCTCCTTGCTACTAACCTCGTCTGCCCCGATGAGCAACCGTCTAGTAGCTCACCACTTGCTGACCTCTTCTGCTATAGAAGGGCAAGTGCTAGTTCCATTACCTTAGCCCAGTATCATCAACTGCAGCCAACAGCAGTGCGTGACTGTTACATGCTGCGCCTGCAACAGGCTGCACGGGCCACTTTCAGGCCCGTGACGTTCTCAGGCCGAAAGCCTGAAAACAAGGGCCTACAGGCCCCGTGTCGTTTCAGCCTGAAAGCCTGAAAACAAGGGCCTACAGGCCGTGTCGTTTCAGCCTAAATCAGGGCCTTTCCGGCCCTGAGTCTTTTCAGCCTGAAACTGAGGGCCAGTTTCAGGCCCTCGTGAGTTCGACCTGCCCTGAAACTCAGGCACTAAACCAGGGTTTTAGCACAGGCCATTCTGGGCCTGTTTTCAAGACAACCCCTGGTTGAGCTTCAACGCCAGGGTCTGGCACGTTTCGGCATTGGCAAGAGCAGCCTCCTGGACAGGCCAGCACTATATAGGACTGGCCCGCTCTGCAGGCTGGAGGTAGTTCCTAGGTACTTCCCAGGCACTTCACGTGCAGTTCAGGAGGCAGGAGGTAGTCTTCAGGATTGGGCAGCAGCACTCTGGAGGAGCGCTGCAGGAGTAGTAGTAGCGCTAGCAGTAGTCTTCAGCGCTGGGCGCTAGTAGCGTTAGCAGTAGTCTTCAGCGCTGGGCGCTCTTAGGAGCTAGAGTAGTACTAGAGAGAGAGAGATTGGGCGGAGGCCAGGGATACTTACCTGCAGCGCCATAGCTCCAGCTTCTCCTTCAAGGTACCTGCAGTACAGCGCCATCTTCACAGGTTAGTACCTGGCACATGAGAGAGAGAGAGTTCCTCTTCTCCCTCTTCGCAGTCCACCATCTCCCTCTCACCCTCTCGCTACCTGACTTCACTGCGTCAGCAGACTCTGAGAAAGCGTGGTGACATTTGGATCCAGACTTGACATTGGGCTTCAGACATTTTGACGAGGACTTATTTGGGACTTGTAACAAAGACTTGGTGTTGACGACATTCCCATCTCTCCCCCTCTTCTTCGTCTGTTCCCCTCCTCTTCGTCTGTGCATGATCTGGATCTGGCACATTCTTCCTGTGTGTAGCGCCAGGCCCCTCCACACCTTGTGATGAGGATGATGTATGTTTGGTCTGCGTTGCAACATTGATTGGGATAGTCATTGGTATTCTAGCATTCTGCTGTGCTGTCTTGCACTACGTGAAAGAGGTCAGTCCCGGTCAGGTCAGGACTTGTATCTAAGTCTTCCCCTGCGCTATAAAGCACCATTTTTGTATGTATCAGAATGTGCACTGCTTGTTGAGATTTCACTTGCACTGCATTGGCCATTCAGTCCTTTCTATCACATTGCGGATCCTCGGTTATTTATGTACATCGCCCAACTGGGCATGTAACAATGACTCTCTCACAGCAGTCACGGGAAGTGTGACTTCCTTCTGTCAGCGTTCAGAGATTCTATTGTCTTCAACCGAATAGAACGCCCGGTCATTATTGCTGCATCTGGACTGAAAATTGCACCAAATACATCTATAATGACCGGGCGCTCTATTCGGGTGAAGACGGTAGTGGCATCCACCAATATGTCCTCTGATTGGGCTGACTGGGCTTATATACTTCACCACCAGCCAGTCCACCGGCCTCTGGGCCCGGCCTGTTTCAGGAGCTGGGACCGGATAGAACCTTCTCTGGGCCAGTACCACTGTATTAAAACGACCTGAAGCCAAAACTTGTTTGAATTGGAATGCGGCACAAGATATGTAAATGGGGAGCTCAAAGAAGAAATGATCAAAAGAACAGTTTTTTTCAGTGTGCTCTTCATGTTTGTCTTGTGTTATTTTTATCGTTTGTTTCGCAGAGTGTGCTCTTCAAGTTGATAGATATGTGACAATATATTTTTCCTAGAAGCTCATGTTCTTTTTCGAAAAATATAAACTTTCAAAAAATAGCAAATAGTAAAATACAATATTTTGGGTTCATTCCGCCACTTGGTGTTCATCAGCTCAGATAGTTGGCTGGTCCGCCTGGTTGGCCTTGGTAGGGTCCTTGGTTCTCTTGGAGGCCTTCACCCCTGCCATTCCTCACCGGGGGTTAGTTCCGGGGAGTAGTAGATTTCGGTTGCCTCTATACCTGGTCGATTTCGGTTGCCCCTTCCTCCAGTGCTTAGACATGGGTGGTTGTGTTTAGAGTCTTTAGACATGTAGGTAGGTAGCATGAGGTATAATTGAGAGAAGAAAATGCAATATTTTGAATTCAATCTGGACTGCTCCAAATGTGTGGATTCCAGATCCTGGACCATAGGCCATCTGGACCCCGGTCCGGGAATCCGGATGTTAGCCATGCAAAAAGGTTTCATGGGCCCTTCTTTTCTCCTTGCCTTCCATCCTCCCTTTCTGCTATTTCGCCCACTTTCTTAATGAATGTGGTCTTGGTTTGTTACTACATGACAATACATACAGGCGCTTCATTGTGCAATTGTAGATGCGGGTGCTGGGTTCCAAAAGTGAGTCTTCTATGCGGGAATGGGCTTGGCGCTCAGCATCAAGTATTGTACATGAGAAATCCTAAACCCCAAGCATGGACCTAACCTTGACCGTTTCTGTATCTTAATTCTCTCAAGAGAGCTGTTACTATGGGAATGGGTATTGATTTTTAGGAAAATTGCGTGGTTTGTGTCCAGTGGCACAACGGCAGCTGCATTACGTGCAGGAGTTCCTCAGGTGCCTTTCTCTTACCCATACCTCTCGACCCTTCCATCCTCCCTCCCTCCCTCCCTCCCTCCC